AGGAATACGTTGGGACAATAGCTGAGAAAGAAGCCACACAGCACCCTACCTCAAGGAAGATTTGTCCTAGAGAGGGGCACATCTCCATAGTAAAGAGGGTGAGAAATTATGAAGGCATTTTAGAGAACATTTCTGATATTTACTCAAGAAACTTCATTTAAGTGTCTTATCATTCCATGCAAATAATTTATTTATTCCTTGTTGGATATTTACTTAGAGCTAAAGATTGTTTTTAACGGTGTAAAGCGTAGAATCCTTGATGGCTCCCCCGCATACATAAATTTCATTGCAGGTGCAAGACATGACAATGGGAAAGTGTTGATACGTTACCAATGATATTTACCCTGATGAGTACCATACTTCTTTAGTGTTGCTTGTTGTGGTTATTTAAGTAACCAGTATCGCTGTAACCAACCATTCTGTCTTGGTCTGTTAGTGGTGACACAGCAAGGATGGCTTTCAAGGAGATCTTCATCATTGTCGTTTTGGCTCATGTAGTTGGTGGTATTTGGGTGAGAAGTTGCGGCGGTAAGTATCCACAGCTTACATTTATTTTATTTCAAATAAAAAAACCTACTGAAGGCTCAAAATCCTTAATCATTCATTCTCTTGTCCATCGCAAAAGAACTTTTTCAGTATGTCTAGAAGAGCCTGAGGAAAAGGGCTGTTGTTCATGGCGGTTTTGTAGATTAATTGTTTGTCTTTCGAAGTAAGAGTTAGGCTTATCAATCGTGTTATGATTGCGATGTTTCGACTGCTATACTGCTGGTTTTCGTCAGACGACGAGGTCTAAAGTTTATTTGTCGCTAATTATAACACCTTAGAAAAAGGGATGGCAGAATCTCATTTTTTGTGAGATAAATATGTTGACTTTTCAAATTTAAAACCGCAAACCGGTAGTCACAGAATAATAATTTCATAAAAGCATTATGCTGTTTTACCTAGATCATACAGCCCGAGTGGACATACCACCCACTTTCGAACCTATTTTATGTTTTTTAAGATTTCACAATTTTTGTCAATTTAAATCCTTGTTGTATTGATCAAGATCATCTGAAATTTAACGAGCAGGGATATCGCAGTGGTGAGAGCGCTCGCCTCCAATCATTGTGGCCTAGGTTCGATTGCCGGACAAGCGTCACATGAGGGTTGGGTTTGTTGTTGATCCTCGTCCTTGCATTGAGGGTTTTTCTCTGGGTCCTCCAGTTTTCCTCCCTACCTCGACAAATACCAACATTCAAATTCCATTTGGACTTGGAAACAATAGACAAGAAGAGCCACCTAGTGGAATGTCCACTGCTAAATTTCCATTTATATATTTAATTTCCATTTCCATTCCCTAATATATTTAATAGTTTTTGTTTACTCTACCTCTTACGTAAAAAGGGACGATCCGGCCTTATAAGTTGTCATTCAGTCCGAATGCTTTGAGAAGAAATGATAGAACACTTACCGTCAGAGGAAGAGTAAAAATTGCCAGATTTGTGCGTGGGTCAACATTCAGATACCGTGTTCAAATTATGAAGAAAGGGAGGAGATGGGACTTGTGCAGGCTCCGTTATCTTAGAAGATTTTGGTAGGTTAAGCAATGAAACTTCCTGATTCTATCTTTTGCTGTTATTGAAGATTCCATTTACGGCCTTGACGCCAATGAGGTTGCCTCTTTAGAGACAGTCTCAATGATGTAAACCAATAGCCGTAGAACGGCAAAGAATTTAGCCTCTAAGGCGTAAAATTGATAAATTTTAACCGTAGTCGTGAAAAAAGTGAACTATAAAACTTGTCCTTCTACAACCTATCTTTTTATCATTTTTGATCAACTGTTAGTCGTAAAAGCCTAAAGAAAACTAGCAATTCTATTACAAGAACTGTACATTTCTAAAACCTTGTTGTTTTACTAACGATTGGAGTAAATATCATAATTTATGGATAAAAGTGTGGGACGTGAAATGCACGATCAGCGGTATCTATAAAAAGTACGCAGTTACTCTCTATGGTAGTTAAGTCAAAATCTTCTCCGAGCTGTATCTGGGATATGAGTAATTGGACTTTAAATCAAATGATATACTACAACTATGAACTGATGATGGAGGTGCAAAGACCTCATGTTCAGTGCGCTGGACTGGGTCGAGAGGTTCAGGTCTTAGGCTAAAACTTTACTCTCTTGGTGCCTGCCTCCACCTAGGAGTGTAAATGAGTAGCAGTGAATTGTCAGGGATGCTTAATGAAATGCTGAGGAGTAGGCTTAAAATGTATAAGTTCCGGCTGCGTTTGCAACTAGGCCGGAGTACATTCGTTGCTTTTTTTTACCTCGACTTATGACTTACTTTGACTTAATACTAATTTTCCTTGAATTATTCTTGTCTGAAGCAATGGCAGGGTGAGATGCGCCGACATTGCGAAGGTTTTGAAAGGAGTAAAGTGTAGATATGGTTTACGGAGAGGAATGTACAATATTAATGCAGTACGTCGCCGTCTGCCTCGTGGCTTTCGTGTGCTGCTGAGACTCTTACCAAAGGTTAGGAAATTAACATTAAACACTTTTATCATCGCTTTGATCAGGCCATACCGGAATGACTTTTTGCGTTTTTACAAAACAATCTATACACGACGGCAGATTGGGAGAACCTGTTACGCAAACCTGACAGATATTCAAGAATTCTCCCAACTCTCGAGTTGGCTTTGTATAACAGACGAGTTTAAATACGGAAAAAGTCGTCTATAACTTTTATCAAATATTTTTAAACATAGATACGAATCTTAAACGTTTTAACCGCGTTTACATGCTCTCATCTATAGGCACATTTAGCAGTCAAAGTTTAGTGTAGTAAAGTCAAACGTGTATTAGGCGGCCACTCAAAAAGAATGCCGAGATAATCACTCAACACAGGTTAACAGCTTAAAGCAGGTTTGACCGAACTGTTGTGTAAAAGAAAAAGAAACCATACCCTTTTACCCTGTACTTGACCTCTTAATATACTAGAGCTCGCTCAAATATGCTGCTGATATTGATTTCGGGAGATGAACATGGAAAGAGGTTAGTACAAAAAGGCCGTTGATACTCAGAAAAGGGTGACCACAACCGCTTAATGGAAGTGACCACTTAATAGAAATGAAAATCGCAGTAACTAAGGGACAAAAATCGAGACTTTGACAACTAACAACTAACAGGTTGGGCTAAAAATATGAAAAAATAATTACTAAATTCTGTTATTTCTTTGATTTTGCAGGGACTGTACAAGTTCAAAGCACGATTGTATCGTAGAAGAAGAATAGGATGCGTCAGAGGGGCAGTGAGAAAAATAAACTAAAAATGCTTCTTAAGATGATAGAAGTGACTGAAATAAAGTGAAATGTTAAGGGGACTTTGTATCTCATTGCTTGATTTACTAATATGACATACCCCCGAGCTTTGAACCTAATTGAGTGTTAATTTTCTACACTCTTTCGTATATGCTGTGTTGATAACGACTGGATGATTTTTGCCATTTTTATTTGTTCCTGAAACAGTTTTAAATCAGTTACATTGCTTTTGAATTTAATGCGAAAAACAATAACAACAAAATAATGAATATTCAAATAATCAACCCTTCATGCAGTAGGTTTTGATAAGAAAAACAGTGTCAGGTAGCAACGTCTCACTGTGATTATGTAATGTAGGGCATTACCATAGACAAAGGGACGTCGCCAGTATTTCAGAGAAAATTACAAAGGTCTTTTCAGCGAGAAAAGAGTCAGCACACGCAGTGAATGCAGGAAACTTTCCACGGTCGACCACCTTAGTGCAGGCAGAAGTGTTTGTTGAGTCTCGCCCATTCTTTCTTGATTTTTACGGAACATGATATCAGTCGAAGCAAAAAACTTTCAATCCCTTCGTCACATGCTATGATCATTTTATCCATTTTCCTCTTTGTAAAAAATTTCTGGTACATGAGTAATGCAAAGATTTTATCAGCTTCTTCGTATGGTCACTTATCTTAAACAGAAAGCGTAGAAAATAGACCTCGAAAATATTTGAGGTCGAGCAGTGGTCGCTTGATATAAGAGAGTTTTGAAACTATATTTGAATGAGAAGCTGAAAACGGTTATTTAAAGAGTGGTCGCTTTAGGGTAGTGGTCGTTCAAAAAAAAAAATCTTGCAATCACCTTTTATTTTTCGACTCTGTCCAAGTAAGAGAAATCGTCCATAGAATATTGGAACAAGGCAAATTCATGGATGGTTGAGAGTCTCCACTCCCCATAATTTTCCCATGAATCAGCTCATCAACTTTCTTTAACCGAAAGTTTCATCTGTTGAAATACTCGAGACATTCTACCCGTAGACTATTAGATTTGATATCTAGCGTTCTGTCGAAAAGAAAAGCAGAAAGGAGGATATAGAATCTGCTGTTACGCCAAATCCTCACCGAACAACTCCCGGCAAGCAAAGAGCCTTCCGGCTAATTTTAGACCTGAAACAAAGGGAGGATATTTGCCACAGGTACCAGTTACCCACGTTTTTAAGAAATAGGTAAAACTGAAAAAATACGAGAGGTAACTAAAAATCAAAATAGTTGTTTAGCGGAATAATTTAAAACGATGTTACTCGAAAGTTCTGAATAGATTTGTTCTAGAAGGGATTAGTTAAAAGTTTAAGAGCCTCAACTTTATAAAAAAAATTGTCTTTTTTTAAATTTTCCTCTCAAAATGGCTCTTTTTGGGTGAGTATGGTGAGGGTGCCTTATTCTTGGACGTAAGAGAATTCTTTGTTCGTCCTAAGTCTTTAATTTGCATCAAAATATGTTTTAAAGGTGTGATTACACAGCAATCATGATGGTTCGCCCTCTGGTAAGAATTATGAAGAGCAAGTTTTCTCAGGTGGGATACATAACAGAAAGCTGACAGCAATATTTGCTCTATGTAGTCGATACTTCTTTGTTATTCTTAAATTTTACGCCGCTGATCATTGCTATAAGTAGGACGTTAGGTTTTGGGAAATCAGAACGTCTTGTTTTCCAAGTGAAAACACGATCAAAATGGCTATCAAAAAAATCTTTATTTTCATGGCATTGGCTTTTGCAGTTGATGCCTTTAAATGGAAACATTGCGGTAGGTTTTTACAGTTTGTGCTTGTTTCTATTTTGCTTCTGTTTTTCTCTTTGATTTTCTCCTCAAGGTTCACGATTCTCGATCATCCTGGGTGTTGTAACACTCTCGCTGTTCTCAAAAAATTGAGAGAAAAGCCTTGATTCATAAGATAGAATACAATGTTGACGAAATATCTATCCAAAACCTATGGGTCTTGTAAAATTTCGAGCAATTTCAAAGTTCCTCCGGTGTCCTTTAATGTTCGACGATTGTGTTCGCTCTCAAAGTGCCGGATTTCATGAAAAACTATCTAGAAACTCTCGCGTTATTTTGAGTCACGCATTCTTGGAGAAATATAATTTTCTGTCAATATTGCGGGTTGGCAAAATTGATACAAAATCTCAGAGAACCACATATCTTAAAAATGTTGCTTTGAAATTCAAAGTCTTAAAAATAAATATGCACTTATATGGACAAGAGCTACATATGGAGGCCATATTAGAAACTACTTCAAGAATATTGCAGGAGTTGCCTAGACCTGGGAAGTCTCAAACTCTCGTATCGACCATTCGCCAACACTAGTTGGGCTGGCACTTAAAACTAAGGTCAATTATAAAGAAATGATGGCTCAACGATTCTGCTCTTAGATTTGACTAAATATACCTGAGCCATAACCTCTCTGATCAATTTTATTCTTATTCTGTGAAGAAAGCATGAGGGTATTTAAGAAAAAAAAAATTACGTTTTAGTCCACTTATTAAGTTTACAACAAAATATTTCCTTAAAGTTTCGGCCGTTGGCGGAAAATTGCGGGATTATCTGACAAATTTTAATATGTCCACGATATTTGTTTTTTTTTCTCTTTTAGTTAAATCATGTAGGAGAAATTTTTTCCTTTTTCGCGGTATAAACTCTGGATTGAATTTCAGCAGGTTTAAAAATTGTCTATCTAATTTTCTTTCGCCAATTTTTTTTCTTTCGTCATTTCGTGCAGCGGAGCAACTTCATTCAAAATCTTATTATTTGCATACATGGAGGCTTAATTTAACCAGCTGCGTTTGAGGATTTTCTTTATCTCACTGAATTTTCATTTTACATGATAGAGGACAACTTGCCCTTAAGGGTGGATTCGTTAAGCCTCTCCCCGCATCCCCTGAGGCTCAGGAAAGGACAAAGAGTTACCTTAGGAGGAAAGTTTCGTGTTGGTGAAAACGCTGGAACAAACTACAAAGTTGATGCCACAGTATGGAAAAAACTACCAATAATCGGATGGGCCAAGGTCCCCTGTTTTGGGATGTGGTAGGTTTTTCAGTTAAGTTCGTCTTTTTTCTTTTTGCCTTTTTTCTTGTGGTGTTAACATGGGATCTTTTCCATATCATTGAATTGTGCTTGCCCTCGTTTTCAGATAGAGGTTATAGATCTCAATCTTGGAGATGGTCTAAAGACTTTTAAAACAGTGGATAATAGCGCAAATACATGAAAATCGATATCACATATCAACATTATTCTACCCTCTGTATCATGTGATAAAACCTAGGTCTTTTTTTTCCTTCCTCTCCCTTTTCATCATTAAATGCAAGTGGTCGTACAATTATTATATAAACTAAGGAACCAGTCATTTTTGTATCGCCGTGGGGGAAAGGGAGTGGTGGGGGGAAGGGAGTGGTGGGGTGGGGGAAGAGGAATATTATAAAGCCTTATGGGTGTTCAGGTAAATTTTATTGAGGCACAATCAAACCCCTTCCCCCCCCTCCCACTTAGGCGATGTGAAGTGACCTATTCCTTAATTGGCTCTCTTCTTTCTCTCTGAACTGTCGTTATCTGCAGCACCCATTCCATTCGATGTGAAAAGCTGGTGGACTTCTTGGAGGGGGCAAAATGCCCACTGGCGCCGGGAAGTTACGAGGTTAAACAGCAGACACGCTCTATGCCTGACATTCCCATCCCATCGTTCTTAAAAAATGTAAGTTTACAAATATTCTATTCTATTGTTTTTGCTAGATTCGAAAATTAAGTCACGAGGCGTATTGTATCGTCTGCCACACCTGAAACAGAACGCATCCTAGTTCAAAATTACTTGATTTAATCTAGTTAATAACTTTTCACTGAAGTAGAGGTTAATAGTGGTGGATAAATAATATATAAATAATCAGGTACATATCTATCACTAGTCACCGACACTAAGGTGAAGAGTAGTTTTAGCATATGCTGAAACAGTGAGACAATGTCGCACAAAGGGATGATTTTAACTCATTAATTCCTGCAAAGATTACAATATTTTGGGGTGCAAATTCCTGGCGAGTTGCTCGAAGGCGAACAGTATACTGTTTTAATATACTCTAAATTCACCTAATTGTCACAAAACCAAAAATGGTCTTTGAATACAACTATCTTTTTTCTTCTCCAGGGAAGGTACAAAATTCAAGCAAAAGTGAGAGATGAAAACAGCAAAAAGCGCATTTCATGCCTGGAAATGGAATCGGATACAACAAGTTCAAAATAATTTCTGTCAGGAAATAAAGTAGATTGCATGAAATTTCATCTTAGCTTTGGCTGTTTTGTCAAACCTTAAATCAGCTGTTAAAATTGCGATAAAAATCCCACACGCTGGTCACTTGGAATCTCATAAGTGCTCTTGCTAAGAATACAGCTAAGGAACCCCGCTATATTCCAAACTGCGTAAAGAATGCGAAACCTCTGGCGGATATTAGCATAAACACAAGCTCGAAAAGGCCGTGGATTCTCCTAACCTAGGTTTCGGAAAATCCATCCCACGAGCCATCAATTCCCCCCTGCCCTCAAGAAACTAAAAGTAGCAATAGTAGCAAGATCATTGTGATGACAGAACTGCAACGAGATATACAGAGAAACACAAATCCTATGAATTGGATTGTAGCGTTACCAAGTGCTGTATGAAAGTCGATGCATACGAAATATTCATTTACAATGCTGATGTCAGTTATTTGCCATCGAGCGAAATGGGGCAATGGCAATGCCGCCCGTAAACTAGAGAAGGTTTACTCTATTAAAATCCCTATTTGAGATTAACTTGAACCAGATGACCATAAACTCACTCGTTTTCCGCTTGACCGATTGGACGACGATAGCCTCTGCGCTTGCAATCTCAGAAGAAAGGGGAAACTTGCACTGTCCAATGACTTCTCGGAAAAAACGACAATCGTGCCTTGTGATACAGCTGACTCTGTCGTCAAAAATTAGATTTTGACGACACATTTCGTAGGGAATTACTCTACAGCAACGAAACTTCAAAGCACTGTCTCAAGGGGAACCGCCTTCGCCGCACTAAGTGGGAAGAAATAAATGTTATGGCAACAGAAACGAACACAGCTATCCATTCTTAACATAGATTTCTTCACAGAAAACAAAACACAAACGCAACAAACTAAACATGCTGTAACGGGAGTTTTTTTGTTTTAACCTTGACCTGAACATCGTAGGCGAGAAACCTTCTTTGTCAGCCTTCGTTGAAATGTTTGCTTGATACTCGCAACTTCTATTTCTTTTTTATACTACTTGGGTTCAACTTAAAACTCTCGGTAGAGCTTGCCGAAGGTAGGCATACATCGTTATCGGACAGTATATGCAGAGTATTTCAAAGCTGATTGATACAAAATTACAAGAGATGTGAGAACTTTAATTTGTAAGTGTCAACTGAGAGTTTTCATGGTGTCTACGTCATCACCTGCTAATTCGTTAGCAGTCCACGGGACACTTTAAGATAAAGTGAGAGCACTTCAAGGGCCCGAAAAAACTGACTTTAAGTTTTTTGAAGTTCTTCTTGTCACGGAATTGGTTTGTACATACGATAAGCTAAATATTTACGCCAAAAAAAAAATTCGTGTCATAGGCATTTTAAGGTAAAGTTAATCCTTTTTTAATGTTTTCATTTCAAGTCATTTTGTTCGGGGAAATTTAAAAATGGCTTCTGTCTCAACCAATTTTAATGAGAATTTAAAAGAACCTTGAATTATTTTAAAGGGAATTTATCTTCATAACTTAATATCTATGACCAAAAGAATTTAGACTGCTTATAGCGGAGCTCGCAGAGCGTAGCCCCATAACTATACGAAATAGTAGTAACCCATCAAGCCGAAAAAATTTGGTTGTACGACCGTACGACCGTACGACCGTACAAGGTGCTACTTTTAGCATGCGCGGCCAACTGTACCACGGGCACTATCTTAGCCATTACGTAATGGAAGGGCGAGGGAGAAGGTAATGCGCAGGCGCGATTGCGTGCGTAACTTGGATACCCCATCAATGTGCGCCAAGAAACACCGTCAGATGACGATAAAGTACGCATACTCGAACGTCGAGCTGCAGTGTAGCGTACTGCGGGCACATTGCACGAGGGCTTCACGTGAGCTAGAAGATGAAATATGCCACCCGCGTTTTGAGCATGAAATCGAACTGGTTGGGATGTAGCTGAACAGTAATTCTCATTATTGTTTTTTTAGAGGGCACGGTAACGAATCTTGCAATCTGATTGGTTCTTTACCCGGTCAGTATTTTCCTATCTCTGCCTACGGGCCACGGTAACGCTTTCGTGAGTCGCCGTGTACATCTCAACTTTCGTTGCCATTTTTCATAAATATACCTCGTTTTGCCCGCTGGGCAGTATTTTAAGCAAACACATCGGTCACTACCTCAAGCCGACTTATGAATCCTCTCTTTCTCTCTCTCAAATCAATTTAGTTGACAAAAAAATATTGGTTTCAGAATGAATTTGTATAGGCAATGGTGTCATTACGTCGGTTGACAAGCGGCCTAAAAACCGTCTGCAATTGATTTTAATCATTCACAAAAAGTACTTAGAAAGTTAAAACGTGAGGTATTTGGTTACAGGTAAACTGAACAATGGAACTTTCATTCATTTAATGTCTGAATTTTCTCAAACAATTTGTTCGTAATAAAAGAGCGAGCGAAGTTTTAATTTCAGTTCGACAATAAATATACGCTCTCGGTGAGTCTTTCAAAGTCCGTTCAATTTGGACATTTGGACCATAAATTGCACAACAGAAACTGAAGGAATTTATTGAGAAAAGGCCGCATTAAATCCCCTTGTGTCTCGTTGGAGTGTGCCGTTCGAATTCAGTTTTTGTGGAGGAAAGACCAGATTTACACACGCCGTTGCAGCAAACAAACGAGCAAACTCTCACAACTTCAAAATAAAAAATTTGAATTTACTCACAATTACTTTCCTCGCCGTTTACTGAATGAACAGAGGTAAATCTTCGTACATGAATGAATCGTCGATGAGAGTGAATAATACTTTCCGTTATATCATTGATTGTTTTTGAAGAAAACATTGTCGTGACAGTCCTTGCCAAACTAGTTCCGTTGTTTTTCAAATCTTCTTGCGCTTTTTTTTTCTTACGCGCTCTCTAATTGACAGGTGTCAGATTGTGACAGATAGTTTTAAAAATAATGTTTCCAACTTTGTTTGGAAGCCTTTCAAATCACCTTCATCGTTACGGAAATGAAAATGTTTCGCTGAGGCATCTCTCTTAAATTTGCATCACTTCTATTTTAACTACCATTTACTCATTCAAAAATTGTTCAGTTTATGGAAGATCTTGCCGTATTTACGGCCATAAATCATTCGGGTTCTTTCGGAAAGAATTTCGTCAAGTTTAAAAACAATAAATATGTTATTTACCGGCTAAGGGTCGGTCCGTATGGTGAAAAACTGTGACCTCGGTCTTGAAAATGCTGCCCTCGGCCTACGGCCTCGGGCAGTATTTTCAAGACCTCGGTCACAGTTTTTCACCATACGGACCTCCCAGCCGGCAAATAACATATATGTATTTTGTAATTTCTAAACAACTCGTAAGACAGCAATACCGGCAGTGTTTAAGCTTTGTCAACCGGAGGAAGTTGTTATAATTCAAGTTCGTGGAAAGAGGGTTTTAATTGAAAATAGGCTGGATATAGAGAGACAGAGCGACCAAAGAAAGCAACAAGTAAACGGCGTAAAGCGAGTCCAGAAAATCGCGCAAGAAAGTTACAAAGGACGCCAAAATAGGCAGAATACGGCGAGAGGAACACGAAAGAGAACAATAAAGGGCATAAGTAAAAAGGCGAGTTTCTAGCGAAGAGCAACGCGGGAAGGAAATACATAGTCGCTTCTGAAAACAGACTGAAAAGAGGTCATCAACAAAGAGAAGCGAACTGCAAAGGATCCGTAAAAGAAGAGAAGGTAAGTCGTGTCCTATCTGGGTTTTCTCTTACGCTAAGACCCAGAAAAAAAATTCAAACTTTTTTCTTTCCAATCGTCGCTTGATACTAGCTTCAGTTTTGAATTCAACTGATCACGTTTCGGTTAAACATTGACTCTGGCATTCATCGCTTAAAAACTCTTACGCCGGTTCATCGTTCGAATAATATTGCATAGTGTTCGTATTCTTCAAGTTATTTCTTCTCCTTTCGTTTGAAAGTTTAATACAGTCGTGGTGTCATGGGAAAAGAAGTTATCTTACGTATTTTGTTTTGCCTAGAAAGTTTTCAAATGATGTCGAACGGCGAGCGCAAGTTTCTACTTTTTTTTTCTCTTCAGTTAATTTTCGCAGGATTTACTCTGTTCGTTTGAAAAATTTGCGCTTTGCCGAAGATGTGTTGTTTTACCCTAAGAACGAAGTAATGGCCTTTCCCAAAATTGAAATAAAATGGGATTGAGTAAGCGATGTTCATGTTTATATTAAGTCTAACACGGTAATTTGATTTTGACGATATTGTCATGTGAGAACCCGTCAAACATCTGAGAATCAAATTGCGGACCGCAAATGTGTGGTGCGAACAAACTCACGGGTAAAATGGAGATGGTTCTACAGCGGGATGAGTGAATTTAATTGTTTGGTTGTCGTACTTTTCAGCGCTATGTTTTCATGCTTTCTACTCGATTCGTTCGAACTTCAGGAAATGGTTTGTGTCACAAAACATGGAGCCACTTTCTCTTCGCTCAACATCTCGAGGCGTTATGATGAACATGCTTGCGATACGATATTTTTTTCCTTATGCTGGAAACTGAAGAATTAATCTCTAAAATTGGTAGTCTTCACATTTTGCAAGAAGCGTCCGAGCTGTGATCGTGCAATTAAACGGGGTTCTGGCAATTTGACCTCACAAGCGCGCTGGTAAGCACATGGTTTGCCGCAAGTACTAAAACATGGAACGACCTAAAACCACCTACAACCATCTACAACCACCTCAAAAATTTCAACAACGACCTACAACCACCTCAAAAACATCTACAGCCACTCGCAAACTATCTAAAACCATCTAAAACAAGGCATAAATGTCTTAAAAAAGGGGAAACGACAACACGTCACGTACATGAAATACGAGAATCAAATGAAACCTCCACCTCCCCCTGAAATCTTACTCTCCCTGGTCCCATGTATAATCAACCATCTCACGAAATAAATGCAAGAGCATGCCAATTATATTTTGTATCACCTCAATGGTAAGAGACATAAAGAACTT